AACGTCCAGTGCGCCCGTATGCGCCCATGGGGACCCACACCCTTTCTACGCCCTGTGACGTCATCAATTTTAACTCTGGAGCACGAATTCGAGCATGTACTTGAACGGGTTGAAAATATCTTGCAGACGATACCAGAATGAGCGCAATTGAGTGGAGGAGATTGGAGAAATAGCCAAAAAACCGTGTCACTTTGACTGGAAAATCTGCACGAAGATCGTGTTTCACTACCCACCTACCTTTCCGAGCATGTGCTTTGAAAATAATGAGTAGTTTCTGAAAAATCTCTACACCAAAATGAAGCCTACTCAATTTCCAGCAAGTGAGGAGAAACTTTAGGCAAGGAGAGGGGAAAAAAAGGGCAGGAGAAAGAGAGAAAAGTAGAAGTCGTAAGTGGGGCGTGACTTTTCAACCCAAAAACTATGTCGAAATTTTGCTCTCTGCGCGTGCCCGAGATTTTCAGGCCGCCATTTTGCATTTGGATCGAAAGGCCGTCGAGTGCACGAGCTGTCAAGTGGTTTTTGGTAAGTTCGAGCCTTTAAAACCCCAACAGTGACCCGAAATCTGCTGGACTAGCTTCAAAACACAGTTTTCCACAAAAGCTGCGGCCATTAATGGGTTAAGTTAGAATCAGTCTTAAAATCTCCTCGATTTCTGTCTTTGTTCACCACTCAAAAGTTACAGGTGAAAATCATTTAACAGCAGGCATCTACCAGCTTCTAATGAAAAGCGCTAAAACGCCTATCGAATTAATTTCTGTTAGAACTGATTTATCATTCTTTAAGAGTAACAGCAACTTACAAATGTCCGCCCTCGGATATTAAGTAATAAAAAAAAAACTCCATCATCTGAATGAGTTTAACCTGAGGAAAGACTACTCTGAGAAAGATGAAGTTTTAGCAGTAGAAATAAAGGATTTGTAATTAAGATTTTCATTTATTTCGAATTGGCAACAACGCAGTCAATGTAAAGCAAAAAGTAAACAGAAAAAATTGGAAAAAGTGAAAAAGAAAATTGTTTTGCAAATGTAATTACATGCAACGTAAAGCCGTTGCAGCTGATGTGACCATTTTTTCAAAAATAGTAGAGAATACGGTGAGGGGTTGTTCTTAAATCAACTTAAATCAACAATTTCTTTTTGAAAAAAATTGGATTTTTGAGTATCTTTTGGAAATACGTATTATGATTATTTAAGGCAGTTTGTTTGCGGAATAATTCCCATTTCCTATATTTTTTTTGCTTTTGGCCTGTTTCCATGACGACGCGATTAGTATTAGCTGCCTTAAGAGTTAGATTTAATAAATTTCGTTTTCTTTCTTATAAACGGATAGTTTCCCTGAAGGGAACACCTCTCCTATTCCATGTATTCCCCGTAGCTCGTACATTTGTTAAAAAATTATTTCTGTAAAAAATATCAAGGTAAACAAAAGTTAACTGATTCTCCAAAAATTAGGACCTCCATGAAGTTGAGAGCTTTTACCTTGATTAGCATACTAGTTTCAGATAAAGAATTTTATGTTTCTTCCATTTTTCTATAAAGTTTTAATTATAATTCCCTTAGATCTGACCGTATTTAAATTGAAGTTAAAAGATCAAAGATTGGTTTTGGCCGAGAAGTAGGAATGAATATCTATTATTCACCATGACAACGCTTGAAGTAGATTTGCTTTGTAGGATCGAGAGGGTATTTGTTATTCTAAGCGGTATTTGTTATTCTAAAAGGATGCAGTTAAAGAATAATTGTGTAGTCAGGTTTTAGGTTCTTACATTTTGAACAGCTTTCTGTCGCGAAAAAAGAAAAACTCAACCAACTATCTATATGGGAGATCAAAATGAGTTAATTTTTGTTTGAGTACCATTCTTATTCACAGCCAATCAATCAAAAATAAAAAAATCTACCCATGGATTATATAGAGACAACGCAGGCTCCGAAAACAAATTTCCTGACGAACTTTGTTACTTTGTTGAAATTATTTCAGGCAAGCATTCGCTACCCCGCTAATTAAATTAATGTGGAATGTAGTGTGAAGTTTTCTTTCACAGTAATAACTACGTCCCAAGCGAAAATGAAATACTATTTTGTTCTCTACAGAAAATGCTTTCCACTTACTCAACTGTGATGCCTTTTTCGGTAAAACTCCTTCACTTAACCAAACTTGAAGCATTATAACCAATATCATGATCTGTAATCCGAATCGTAAGTTGAATTTCTGGTGGTAACATTTCTGAGTAAGGTTTTTTGGATTCATTCTCAATTTTCACGGAAAATAGTTCCTACATTTGAATATCGATCCGGGACTGCAGTTTTGTTAAGCAGATGAACCTTTATATGGGTTCTTATCGTCAGCTGTCTGGACGAGCTGAAATGAGCTGAAATAAATCAATCAGCGGTAATAAGTTCCTCAGACGATTGTTTATTTAACCGAATACAGAATGTCGCATTATTCTGTTTCATTAGACGTCATGTCCTATACTGTCATTTACCAACTTCTGCCAAACAGAAGAAATCTATGATCCGGGGGCGTTTTTCGATCAATTTAAAGGAAAAAGTAAAGTAGGAGATGAACCGTCTCCAAAATACTAATTTGCGTTGAGTTGAAATTACTTAAGGTAATAGTGATTTACTATCAAGGAAGTGTTTGGTTAGGACTGATGACATTAATGTGATTTCTAATCGAATGAAAGACACTTATCAGTCGCAGATCTCATAAGTGGAAAACAGATGATGGAAGAACTTTTTCGGAAATGAAATTATTGAAATCATGCATCCTAATCGTAGTTAGTCCTCTTACTTTCAAATCAGATAGATTATTCTTCCTTCTCGCTTTAAAATGTTTGCGGAAAAAGTAATCGAGAGAATTTGGTTTTACATCGCTTTAACACTCTCGTGCTGATAAGTTTTCTTCTCCCATCACTGATCTTCTGGAAAATTTATAAAAATATATGGTAAGGATAAGTTCGATGGAAATCATATTTGGAAGATAAGGAGAAATTAATCTTTGTAGACAAAACCAAGTTTTTGTTTATCAACAACTATGATCGTTACATCACAAATGCTGCAATTTGATTGGTCACGCTATATGCTTTATATTCCGTAATAGAAAGTGGATAAAGTGAGAAGTCTGACGGCGTGCATGCGCATTAGTAAAGAAGATAAAATAAAAACATGAGCTTGTCTTGTTGCTAAGTCTTGAACGACCTGTTGATTTTTATTGAAACAATTAATTATTCTTTCTCGATTTATGTGTGCCGAACTTGAAAAGGGCTTCTCCCTCATCAACCTTAACGCGATATAAATTTTGCAGCTAATAATCTAACTCTTTAATTTGAAAGTGAAGGTCGAAACGTCCGGCAAAGTTTTACGCTTCTAGACACGAAGCTGAAAATGCAGGCTTACTTAATTTTTGCCACAAGGTTGATCAGCTATAAATTCAGTAATTGTTGTTAGAAAAATCTCAGATAATTCTAAACACAATCTGAGAGTTCGACATTAACACACATACAAAAAAAAAACAATTGTCCTGCGAATTGTTGTTTCGTTGAGGGAGAGGACAGTATCAACCTTAAATGAAGGCTCCGACTATCTCAGTACGTACGCAAAGTAGGGCTGCATCAACAATATTACCTTCGAAAATATCTATAAAAATCCAGTTTCCAGATGGGATTTGAACCCACGACCCTCCGTGATCTAGTCGGATGCTCTAACCACTGAGCTACAGGAGACTCTATGGTGAGCAAGGGTCAATTAGTGGGTATTGACTGGAACCGCATCACGCGGCTACACAGCCAAACATCAGCTAGCGCATAGAAGCTCACTAACAGCATCACGCTGTCACATTAAAGCATCACATGCATTAAAGCATCACATGCAGCCAACCAGCCTCCAAAGTGAGCATGTAAAGATGAAATAAACAATTTTTAAAATATCTATAGCAACGAATTTGCTCTCATGAAAGCATGACTTAAAACCCCTATGGGATAAACACCCACTCAAAGTCCCACCTAGATTTCATTTACAATTATTTTAGATTGAATTTCGGAAAAAAAAAAGAACAAAAAATACTCCGTGACGGTAAATTATAACAGGTGTCTGCAACGCAAGAAACTGTTGAGAACTCAAAGTATATTCAAGTAACCGGTTTCTGAAGAATTCAGAATGCAAGTTCGGTAGAACAAAAACAAAACACAAGAATCAAAGAACAAAATAGCCACCAACCAGCATGAGGGATAAAGATGGAGAAGACTAAAAGAATTTTGTTTGGTCCGGACCAATCAGATTCGAGAATGGGTAAACAAAGATAGCCACACAAAAACACTCCTGGCCAGTTGGGAGGAATCTATTTTCTACTCTCCAATTGGTTTCCTCTTGTCCGAGAGCCTCTATTTCTACAACCAAAGTTTCTCTGACTTCACTTCCGAAAGTAGCTACAAAAGCAGACAAAAATATTTCTTACTGACCAATTGGCATGGAATTGTAATTTCCCGGAACGATTTTATCATCATCTCATTTTCTTTAAGAGCAAAAATGACCATGGAAAAATAGATCTTTCATCAACCTCGTTTCGATGTAGGCTTGGAGCACGCAATGTTCTACTGAATAGTTTACTTGATTAATGGTTACCATGCAAAATTTTCAAAAATAGATCCACACACTCGACACGTGCGAACAATGTCTTAACAGATGGGATGGTTCAGTGCACACAGCATAAAAACTAAATCACTACAAACTTGAAGTTCAAGATTCTTAAAGCATGTCGAGCGTTCTGAGAGCTGCCGTGAGCTTTCATCGTAAAGCAGAAGAAAAACCTATCGAGACAAGATCTTCTTTCCGGTGAGGAAAACCAAGAACACATTGGTGGTTTTTTTCTTTTCACCGACCTAGTACTGATTTCCTCGATATCAACTACTTGGTCAAAAAATTTGGGCTCGGATCATTTGAGCTCAAGCTGTAACGGCTGGTGAAAATATTGAAAGAGAAAACTGAAAATTACAGTACTAATTGACTTGGAGCTATGTCAATTGTCGTGCGGAGACTGAGACCGAGCGAGGTGAACGGTAAGACGTGTACTCAAATAATAGAGAGATGAAGCGCCGTGTTTACGTGAAACGGCAAACGGTAGCTCGCCCTTTCACGTTTCACTTGAAATAGCGTTAACCTTGCTGCTGTAGCTTCGCGTGAGGTCACGTCATGTTGGATCTGAAGGCGCCCTTTATGACGTCATGGTGGATTGGAAGGCGCCCTTTATGACGTCATGGTGGATTGGAAGGCGCCCTTTATGACGTCATGGTGGATTGGAAGGCGCCCTTTATGACGTCATGGTGGATCTGAAGGCGCCCTTGTATGACTTACAAGGAATAGTTTTTGTGCCCTTTTTTCCAGCAATTAACTTCTACTCATTGAGAGAAAAAGTGAAGGAAATCTTACTCACTCAGCAAACGCGAAAGAGGTTACTTTCACTTAAAAATCAAATCAAATCAATCAAAATTATTGTGTGCATCCATAAAAGGAAGCGTCGGAGGTTATCCCTATCGAGGGCGCTCCCTACATAAAATATAAAATATATATACTGCAATGTTTATTTAAGAGTCATTAAGGAATAGGTTTACTCTAGTTTGGTTTACTCTAGTTTGAGCACTCTGGCATGGCTTAGACGATACCACAAAGGTTGGGTCGTTTGGGGTGACCGTCTCGGTTCTCCCCCATCCTAGCATTAGCACTGCACTGATGAGGCCCAGAAGGCCGAAACAGTACTGTCTGCAGTTAGTTATATATATATATATATATATATATAG